CACTGTAGTCATAGAAACCCTCATGAAGGCATCTTGACCACACTCCCCATCCTTGCTCAAAGAACAAGGCATGAAAGGCAATTTCCTTTTCTATTTTCAGAAACCGTTACAGTCACTTAAAAGCTAATTGAGGAGCTAGCAGCTTCCTCCTCCAAGAATGCATAAAATAACAAGAATTATTATTTATCTGTTTTCTGTGGCTATGTCATGTCTCTCTCTAACATCATAAGCGTCTGGCCGTCGGGGATTTGCGGTATGCGTTTGGTCACCTCTGCAGCAGCAAACACCTAAGGGGTGCTTGGTTCATACATCCTAATGATGCTGCTGGTCACACCACAGTTGGGAGCTAGTGGTGCCCATGGACACCACCTATAATCATCAATTAGGGGAGGGGAAAAAGTGACAGAGAGAAATGTGCTGGAAAGGAAGATTAAGAGTAAGGCAAGAGGAAAATGAAGAATGAGAGAAGGAAGAGCAGGACCTCCGTGGTAGGTGGCACCAGCAGTTGTCTAGCCCTCGTCAACAATATTAGGGTTTTAGGTCCTCTGCCCCTGCCCACCAGGAAGTCACCAAATGTCTTGCTTTCTTTCATAATCACAAATTGACCTATTCTCCTTCTAACATGGCAAAATGGTAAAAGAGAGTGTAAGACTTTTTTATAGAAAAGGCCAGGGTATTGAGTTGTTTATTTGGCCTTGACCAGAGAAAGGATTTAGCATTTAGAAATGTTTATTGGTGTTTTTATGAGCTTATTTGCTTACATCATAGAGAAAAAAGATCAAGATTTCAATATCCCTTTTACAGATACTAAGTAAAGAAGGAGGAAAGTCAACTTATTTATTCTTGATGCAATTTGTTACCCTGTAAGAAAATATATGTACTTGTCACTAGGCTGAAAATAGCCCACTTAAATTTTAGTAAAAATCACACTGTGTATGTCTAATTTATGGAAATTATCATTGGTTACATCATTTAACTTAATTCATCATTAGTGGCCTTAAAAAGGCTCTTCATTTGCTCTGCTTGTCCTCAGATAACATCATCTTACATGAAATGCTGCTCACATATTAAAGATAATTAAATACTGAATACCTGATTAAAATAATCTTGTACATTTTGGAGTAAATATGTATAATTCATGTTCTCAGCTCTTGCCAGTTTCACATTTTATTTAGCAGAAAATATCTAGCCAAAACCCAGCTGCTTCAGAAGGAAAGTTTGAAACATTATGCCATATTATTTTATATAATGAGATTCTATTATGTGTAACCACAAGATTTATTATGTGATTATGATCCTAATGGATTATTGGTTTTGTTTTTTATTTTTAAGTCCATATTTGAGAAGTAAAAATATCTTCAATGGGACCTGGTTTATAGAGAAAATTCCTGATGCAGTGAATTTTTCCATCAAATTAGTTTGTGCCACAGTTTTGCTAAAATGCACATATTTAACCCTCTGACACCCTTCCTCGCCACAGCCTTCTCTTAGGATCATAACTTCCTATAAAGCAGTCCCAAGGCTTTTCGTTTCCATTCGTGTCTTTTCAGTGGGCAAGTTCTTCCTGATTGGTTCTTCATGATCCACAGGTCTCATGGGTCCTGAGTTCCTTTTTGTCTCTTCAGGTATCCGTTTCTCTCTCTCCCCACCAGGCAGATCGTCCTCTGGCTAGGCATCCTGTGGTCATCAGGTCAGGCACACTCCCCAGACTTTAATTTCCAGGCAGGTAGAACTGCAAAAGGTGTGACGGTCTTCAGTGGGTTATGAGGAGTCAGAAGCTGGAGGAGAATGGGTGCAGAAGGAGCATTCGCCTGCCTGCTTGCTGCCATGCTCTGAAAACCACTGGTCCCGGGCATGCCCATGGAATGGTTCCGCCTGGTTCTTGGGCAGCCTCCCTTGGCCTGGTACAGCCCTTCCACACAGTCATGTTTTCACTAAACAGATGCTACTTGACTCACAGTATGAACCACTTTGGAAAATTTTCATTAATACATTAAGTCACTGAATAAATATTTTACTGATTTCCCACCATTGTCTGGGATGGCCCTGTGCTAGGTACTGAGTAGGTGAAACTTAGTCTCTATCCTCAAGGACCTCGTGATTTAGTAGACAAACCAACTTCAAATGACTCCACTGATTAAAACCTCCCATCAGTTGTCTTGAACCATTAATCCAGAAGCTGGGAGATGGAGGGCGGAGAAAGGAGCTTCGTAAAGCATGGGTAGAGATTGTCAACGTTGTCATGAGCTCTCAGATGCAGTACGTCCCATGGAACAGGCAAGACCTGACCTCTCAAAAACGCATGTCTTTCTTCATGAGGCCAAGTATGGGTATCTTATTTTGTTTTGTTTTTTAATTAAACCATTTATCACTCCCTCTCTGAATGTCTGAAATGACATTTATGACATTTCGGAAAGTTGCACTGGCTTTTCAGAATAATTCCTAATATGACAATTTTTGTATTTTAGAGAGCTTTAAGAAAAAACCAGGCTGTTAGTAGGAACTTGGTCAGGTACTGGCTCTAACACTGTGGTAGAGTCTAAAGAAATACTCTGCCCTAGTGGAAGAACAGCCCCTGTTGCTAAAGCTTGGGGGAAATCTGGTCTTGGAAACGGACTGAGTTATCTCCACGTGATCTGCAGGAGTGACTTGTCCCTGAGGCTGGGCTGACCATTAGGCCAAAGTCCTTCACTCACAGCCTCAGGAACTTTTCAAGGGCCTTTCCTCTGGTCATTTTGCCATCACCTGTGAACATTTAACCAGAAACTTTAAACCAGGAAGAGGAGTTACATGATCCTCAAATTACCCAGTTCAAACTTATATGTTCTTCATCTGTTCTCAGTTTGTTTAGAGGAAGCTCTTGACCCTGGGATGACAGAAATACATGGGGAAAGCTGGGTGCGGTGGCTCATGCCTGCAATCCTAGCACTTTGGGAGGCCGAGGCGGGAGGATCGCTTGAGGCCAGGAGTTTGAAACCAGCCTGAGCAACACAGCGAGACTCCATCTCTACAAAAAATAGAAATATTAGCTAGGTGTGGTGGTGCCCATCTGTAGTCCCAGCTACTCGGGAGGCTGAGGCAGGAGGATGGCTGGAGCCCAGGAGTTTGAGGTTGCTGTGAGCTAGGCTGACACCACTGCACTCTAGCCAATGCAGCAGAGCAAGACCCTGACTCAAAAAGAAAAGGAAAAAAATACATGGGCAGATTTTCTCTACATCTCTGATTTATTTGTCATACCTTTGCTTTTTTCAGCTCTAATTAACCCGAGGGATTGTTTGTGTGCTGCAGTTGCTCCTACAGAATTCTAAAGGGAAAGCATGTAGCAGAGGACAGAAGGATAAATCTTAAAGAGAGAAGGTGCCACTGGCTTCTCTTAGTCATCGTGTTTTTCCACTCCCATTTTCATTCACGTTCATGGAGCACTTGCTTAACACGGCTTACCTGGCTGGCTTTGTGCTAGGTAGGGGGACTTAATGGTGACTCAGAGCTAGGCCAGCCTGCAAGGAGCTTAAAGTGGAAGCAAACGGTTCTGCGGGTCTGGAGAGCACAAGAGAGGAACTAATTCTCTCTGCGAGTGGTCTCCGCAAAGGCCTGTTTAACAATTAACACGTAGCACAGAAAATAAAACCAAAGAAGCAAGAGAAAGATACACCCAGTTATTGGAATCACAGAGGGAGTGGGAATTACTCTTTCTAATACATATATTTTTTATAGTTTCCTTTTCCAAGTTTTCCAGCTTGCACCCCTGCCTTCTCTCCCTGCGGGCTTTGGCGTCAGCTTCCCCCCTACAGACAGGACAGAGCTCCTCCAACAACGCACTCAGCTGCTTCAAGGGACGTAATAGGTTCTGCCGAAAACGAACACAGCAACCAATAGCGCCCTCAAAAGACAGCAATATCTGTTTCCAAGGGAGGCATTAACAACTGTCCCTTCCTCTTCCTTCCCGCAGGTTTTTGCCCAGGACGGGTGCGGAGCCTAACTCCCGGGGGTCCATGCCCCGGCGGCTGCTTCGCGTCCGCGATGAAAGGGTTATCGGGCAGCCGCAGCCATCACCACGGGGTCACCTGTGATTCGGCCTGTGACTCGCTGTCGCACCACTCGGACCGCAAGCCGTACCTGCTGAGCCCGGTGGACCACCACCCCGCGGACCACCCGTACTACACCCAGCGGAACTCCTTCCAGGCCGAGTGCGTGGGCCCCTTCAGCGACCCGCTGGCCAGCAGCACCTTCCCGCGCAGGCACTACACGTCGCAGCAGGAGCTCAAGGACGAGTGCGCCCTGGTGCCCCGCACCCTGGCCACCAAGGCCAACCGCCTCCCCGCCAACCTGCTGGACCAGTTTGAGCGGCAGCTGCCCCTGAGCCGCGATGGCTACCACACGCTGCAGTACAAGCGCACGGCCGTGGAGCACCGCAGCGACAGCCCGGGCCGCATCCGCCACCTGGTGCACTCGGTGCAGAAGCTCTTCACCAAGTCGCACTCCCTGGAGGGGCCGTCCAAGGGCAGCGTCAACGGGGGCAAGGCCAGCCCCGACGAGACGCAGACGGTGCGGTACGGCAAGCGCAGCAAGAGCAAGGAGCGGCGCGCGGAGCCCAAGGCCCGCGCCAACGCCTCGCCGGGCTGGTGGAGCTCCGACGACAACCTGGACGGCGACATGTGCATCTACCACGCCCCCTCGGGCGTGATGACCATGGGCAGGTGCCCCGACCGCTCGGCCTCGCAGTACTTCGTGGAGGCCTACAACACCATCAGCGAGCAGGCGGTGAAGGCGTCCCGGAGCAACAACGACGTCAAGTGCTCCACCTGCGCCAACCTGCCGGTCAGCCTGGACGCCCCGCTCCTGAAGAAGAGCGCCTGGTCCTCCACGCTCACCGTGAGCCGGGCCCGGGAGGTGTACCAGAAAGCCTCGGTCAACATGGACCAGGCCATGGTGAAGTCCGAGTCGTGCCAACAAGAGCGTTCCTGCCAGTACCTGCAGGTAGCATTTCTGTCGTGTGCTGGATGCTTGGAAATAGCACCTGGCTTGATTGTGTGGTCTTTTCCCCTGGGTTCGAGTCTTGGCTCTACTGTGAATTGTCTGTGTGCACAAGAGCAAACTATTTAGCATTTCTGTGCCTAAGTGCTCCTGTCAGGAAAATGCAAGGGAACAAATGCTACCAAGTTCATCCAGTTATCTTAAGACGCTAGATATACAAGTGCTTTGAAAAGCACTCCTACGTGAGAGCAAGGAGTTATTAACGGGTTGTGTTCCTCTTTTGTCTGAGGGATTATGAGGTGGGAAGGAGAGGAAAGGGAGTCTACATAGAATTTTAAAATAAATCCACCTTTTTTCCCCCAAAAGTAAACAGTGATCTTTAAAACTTTGGAAAGAGTTTCATTAGCTCTATTCAGAATTTTTTTTAATTAATTTATTTTTTTTTAATTTTTTAAATTTTTAATTGTAAAATCCTGCCCGAAGCTATCAGTTTGCACACTGCATGGTCGTCACCATCCCCATGGCCAACCACACCCCCAGCCGGGCTCCCACCCCGGGAGCTGCGCAAATGAGCATGAGCCCTGTGCCCTGAGGAGGCGGACAGCAAGCCAGTTTGAGGACCTGGCAAGCACAGCTGCAGAGACCCAGGACAGCCGAGAAGAGGAGGCAAAGGAGGGATCAGAGCAGTAAAATACAATTAATGTCAGTGTGTAGAGCCCACACGCGTACAAACCCAAGGCAGGCTGCCCTTCCCTGCCACTGTCTGCATATTTTCCCTGCTGCCCTCTGGTTCACTGAAACCAGCAGTCACCTGGATGAAAATACAGGGGAAGGTCTTTTTCTTCTCTACCTCCCTGCTCTAGTACTGTGTTTTTCCCAAGACACACTCTTCCACAAGAATGACCCTCATCTTTTTCCTTTTCAGAGTGTTTCCTCTGTTCTCTCATGCTCTCCTCATCTTAAATGTATATATATGTGTGTGTGTGTTTTACTGGGCTACTACAGTATGACATACCCACTCCCATTTCCCAGTCCCATGTTAAGAAGAAATGCAAGGAAAAGTTCGTCCACTGAGAACTTCATCTTTTTGCTCCCTTGGGAGTGCTTCCACCAAGCCCTGAGAGTACTCCAAGCGGGAAGTCCCCTGGGCAAGGACAATGCCAGAGCCGATGCCTGGAGTTGAAAAGAAGCCACCAGCGTGCGGATAGTTTTCACAAACAGCACACAGTTCCGTAGTCACTATTTCCCACTGAAGGTGGTATTGCCTAATTTCCTGCAAGGTTACAACGGGTGTTAATAAGTTATCAAAAACTATAACAATTTGAGAGCTAAAGGAATCATTTAATCCACTTAGCCAATGAAAAAAATTATACTCAAAGGAAGGTAAAGACTTAATGAGTTACACTGTTAACATGTGGCAGAGGTAAACTACAACCCTGTATTTTAATTTATAGAAATGACCATTATGAGGGTTGCAACTGAAAGCTCTAGAAATTCTTTAAGCACATAAAGCTCATCTGCTGATGAAACTAAAGTATTTTGATAAGAATCATCTGTCTTGAAGACAAGATGAGTAAGGAGATAGAAGCCCTAGAGTAAGACATATTTTGTCTGTGAAGGTTCTATGACTTAGCAGCAAAAACAAAACAATTTTTTTAAACCCTGTACTTAAATAAGTAATGGTGAGATTAGGTAAGTATCAGATACTTTATAGAAGGATGCTATATATGGCTCTAGCATCAACCTTTGTTAATAATGAAATTCTTTCATTATGATTGCATAATTGCCTACATTCGTCCTACCTTAAATTCATTTTTCTTTCCTTTCATACCTTTTTGAAGTCAAAATCTCAAGTAGTGGCAAAAAGTGGAAGGATAGGGAAAGAAAGAAGGAAACAGATATTAAGTGAAAATCTATGTACCAGATGCTGTAGGAAATGTTTTCACTTTTGTCATTTCACTTAATCTTCATAATAATCCTGAGATTACTGGATGTAATAATACTGTATTTTTACAAAAGTGGAAACTGACCTGGGAGTTGTAGAACTGAGATTTAGACTTAGATCTGTTTGATGCCAGAGCCACTCTCCTTCTAATTCACCCGGCACAACTGCAGAATCCAGGGCATGAAAATGATGAGCAAGAAGAAAATAAAATCTTTAAAGTAAACATATTATTATTAAAGTTTTTCAGTAAAATGAGAATGAAATCTTAAAGATTTGAGTATAGGATTTAGTGTAGTAGCATTATTGTATCTCATATTATGAAGACTTGGAAATTCTATTTTCGAATCACTTAGCTGCTCTAAGCCTGCTTCTTTTTAGTGAAACACTTGAGGCTTACAGAAAGGTATAAAGAAAAAAATAAACTCCCATTTATACATGACCCAGCCAGAGAAATAAAGCATTAATTATAACGGATCACACATGTACTTTCTTCAATCCCGTTTTACTTCCCTTCTTCTTCAGAGTAATAGCTAACCTGACTTTGATATCCAAAGCTCCTTTATTTTTAATTCTGAAATTATTGAAAGGTTGAAAAAAATTAACGTTTTCTAGCCTGCATTGAGCATTAATTATCCCTGTATCCACCAAGCTAGTTCAACTCTTTAAATATAAACTGAACTCTACGTCACATTTTATTTAATAGGTATTGACATTTATCGAGTCCCCAATCTACGCACATCTTTCAAACTAAAAGAAAAACAAATTCTATATTCCAACGTGGAGAGGTAGCACGTTAGTAAATGAACTAAATGTAGAACAGTGTGTTCTCCCTGGGCAGTATGCTGAAGCTGAAGGGATCCTGTAAGAGAAGAGAAGAAAGATCTGTACGTTCACCTGGGAGAGGACAACAGAAAGTCCCCTCGAGAACTGGGCTCTGCTCTCTTACTGCCTCTAGGAAATGAAGGGGGCTCTGCCATCCTGTGGACTCCTTGCTCCCAAAGATAGGGTTAGCCAGCTCCAGCCAGCTCCCCTGGGATAATTTCATTTATAAGCTTGTTCTTAGAAGCAAATTTGGGGAAACAGAGAAGGTTTCTTTGTTGAGTGTTTTTTTTTTTTTTCAGTTATATTGCCTTAATTGGCAACTAATATCGAAGCAGGATTTACAAATGTGTTTAACTTCAACATCACAAGGTTTAGTGGGCAAAGCATTGTTCTACTAGTCTATTAGCATCCTAGTCCCTATTTGCCACTAACTAGTGACATGAGCTGGAGCCATCCTTTCAGCTCTCTGGGCCTCCCTCTTCTGCTAGAAAATGAGACACTTGGTCTAGAAGACCTGTGATCTCAGTCCACATTTTTAAATTCAAGTTACATTTGCCAGAGTACTACTAATTAGAGCAATTTTCAAGAGTTGAAAGGTCTGGGACTCACTTTACAAAATGCCTCCTAAAAGTAGACGTTTTTCAAATATTATCTAATTTGCTCTTTAAAACTCTAGAGGCATTTTACAGTTGAAGAAACTGAGATTTAGTGAATGAGGTTAAGTAACTTGCCCAAGGACACACAGCTAGTATATGGTGACACAGTGGGTAGAGACCGATTCCTCTGCCTTCAAGGTCTGCATCCTTTCCGTTTGCCATACCCTGTCTCTACTCTCACCAAAAAGCAGAACGAGGAAGCAGCATATATCAAATATCAAGTATGTGCCAGGAACCATAAGTATCTCATTTAGTATTTGAAACAACTTTGTAAAGTATTACTATTTAGTTTTATAGATGATAAAACCAAGGCACAAAAGATTAAATCGTCTGCCTAGAAACACATAGACTGTAAGTGGGAAAGCTAACACTGGACCCCAGATCTGTATGACTCCAAATATGCTTCAGAAATAAAAATAAATGCATTTTTTATTTTATTACCTGATTTATTCTGTAGCAATTGCATGTGTGCATTTGACCTCTTATATGTGCATGCAATTAAGGCATGGATATTAAATTAGACTAGCAATGAAATGACTGATTATGTCCCTAATTTGATTCAAGACTGACAAAGATTAAATTAATATTCACCAATAGTAGAATCTAAATGCTAGCAAATTTCTGATTCTCTCTTTGCAGAATTATCACTTAGAACTAACTTAATTTAAGCCCTTGCCATGATTCTGTAGAAAATCATGGATCTGCGGAGGTCTATAGGTATTTAGACTCTGCCTGACATTGATTTAGAAATCAAATACTGTAGCTTGAAATAATTTCAAGTTTCAGTTAATACAGTCAATTGGTGATATGTGCTCACTCACAAGCTGTTTGTAGTTAATAAAAAAAAAGACTCCCTTTTTTTCCAATATTGTTATTTTTAAATGTCAAGAATCAGATGTCTGCTGTTTAGAACTATTGTACCGCTGCCAGTGACTGTCTGTATTAGGGTTGGGAGCAGGAACATGGATTTGAAGACATTAAAACTGTTTAATTCTCAGTTGAGATGTGGTTGGCTCTTATACATTTGGAATAAAGCATTTATGGCACATCTCAGGGTAAGTGCTTAATAGTTAAATAAATAAAATAGGAAGAGGTTCAGAGAGGGAGTAAAAGGTGGTTTTTGTTATTGTTTTGTTTTTGCTTTATAAAAGCAGAATTCTTGATTCTGCATATGCCTCTTTCATGAAAACGTTATATATTGAGTGACTGGCATAAAAAGCCATTCAGAAGAGCAAGATTTTAGATTTCCAACTGTTCACCTAAAAGAAAAATCCCTTCGAATCGTGTATTTTGCATTCACCCAGCAGCAGAAACAGGGAAAGGGAAACAAAACGCTCTCCGGTCGGTGGAAGTAGAGAGAGAGAGAGACAGAGAGGGAGCGAGAGAGAGCAAGACAGAGACCGGGAAGAAAGCACTCCCAGAGATGAAATTTTAGGAGAGCAAAATGATCGACCTTTTTAAGGCTGAGTGGGTTTCTTCAGTTTGTGTGCAAGTTTCAAGAAATGGAAGGACTGACCAGGTTTGGGTATAACTCTTTATTACTTTGTATTTGATGATAGTGTGTTGTTGGTTTGGGTGGGTTTTGTGGTGGAAGAAAGAAGGGTACTATTTGTGATTTTATTTCTCTTCTAAATAATGTCTAGTAAGACTGAAAGAGCTTACAAACTAATGCATGTACAGATGGTAAAAAATAGGTTGAGAGATCAGATACCACAGAGGCTTCATAAGATCTTTAATTGACACATGATCCCCTATCTGCTAGGTGCTGTTAGAGGACATTATGTGGCTGGTGATTGAAATGTGATCGGTCATTTTCCAGGACAAGAATCCTGAATACTTACTACTGTTCCTTTGCAAAAATTAAAATTTCTGGGTGATTGCTCTTTTTTTTTTTTCGGGGGAGGGAGGTCTGTTGTTTAAATAAGGCTCCACGAAAGATCACTGAGGAAGCATTCATAGCAAGCACAAACCCAGGATTTTTTAATGCAGGTATAATTATTTTTCAAAATTCTGTTCAAGATTATTTCCATCTTTTCCCAGTGGGAGTTTTCTTTCCCTAGCTGAGTTTTTCCTTCCTCTTGTGTTAGGATAATTTTAATTTTACTATTTCCATGAAAACTACTTTACATGAAATTTATGAAAGTGTTGAACAGTTCTGCTAATGACTTTGGCTATTGTGATGTTTCCTTGCTGCCTTTTTCTAAAACCCCACCAACCACATTAATTGATGATTCTCTTTATTTTTAATTTAAATTGCCTTAATAATCCAGCAAGTGAATGTCAGAGTTTTTGAATGCATTTCCTATTTGGCTTGTACAGTCTTCTTCCTATTTTTTCACTGATCTTAGTAGAGATGTCTGTCCCTCTTCATTGATAGAAAGATGAGATTACGGCAGCCTGGTGCTAACTTTGAACGTGGAATCAGTGATCAACAGCAGATTCCTAGTAATATTGTTTCTCTCTCTCTCTCTCTGATTCTCTATAATTCTTGCTGTTACCCATATCCAATTAATGGAGGGGGTAAAAACAATTGAAAAAAACAACATAGAAAGCAGTGTCCAGAAAGACTCAGCAGTAGTAAACAGAAGATCAGAAATGAATAGGAAAGCCCTGTTGGAAGTTGTTAAAGAAACTTTATTATTCTTGGCCTGCAGTTTCATTGTTTTAAAATGTCTTTAAAGACATTTTCAGCAACACCAAAAGTGCTTGGTTAGCCACAGTTGGAGGTTTCTGCATGTAACATATATTTTCTGATCCCACAGAATTCTAATCCACTAAATGAAGGTATAACATCGGTTAATAACAAGTAAGAGAAAAACTAGCCTTGGATCGATCTCTCAGTGTCCAGTTTACTTTATTTCCCCTTTCTCCATTTTCCTTAGAGGACAGTTGGCTTGATTGCAAATTAAAGGCAGTAAATCAAAATAATCATTCACCAGTCTTCAAAAGAAAGATTCATGCATAATCTCTGGTCCATTTGAGATCATGGCATTACATGATTTTACACAGAGATTTGTGAATGGTAGAACACATTGGTGTTTTGTTTCAGGTTTCTTAGGGACCACTAAAAAATATATGCAATATTGCCAAGCTGATTTTGATTTGTAATTAGATTATGTTTTTCACCATGTTAGTTTTAGGCTCAAGGGTAACAATCTCTCTTAGTGAATTATTGCACAAGGAGAATTTTTTTTTTAATTTTATGTTGTTAAAGTGTTTTGTTAAACTCTTAAGTGTTTTTCTGAATTCTTAAGACTGGAACTACAGTGGGCAAGTGCACTAATTATTTTTCAATGAAAGATTCATTTATATCCAAACTAGTCCTCTCTCTTTGTAACTAAAAGGTAATGATATAAAGAATAATATAATAATATAAATAATAAATAATATAAAGAATATAATAATATAAAGAATCAATTACGTTACACAATAAGCAGAAACAAAGGGAATGTAGTATAAGGAAAGACATATTATCTAACCTTCTTGTTACTTTGGACCAAATTCTTATTCTTACCATTTTTTAGTTCTTTTATGTCTTGGAGAACATTCACATGATCAGGAAAGACTCTCCTGATTCTCCAACTTTTTAAATGTAAGAATATAGGACTGTCATTAAAAACTTTGTTTTCATTTGCTAAAATTTAGTAATATGCCTTGCTTTGTTTCCATTTCTAAGACAAAGAGACCTCTAATTACATTTGCAAATGAGTTGTCAAGATAGGTAGATCTTTTCTTTTGTATACTTTAGGTCACTGTTCTCTATCAATTAGAGTCTCTATTTATTGTTCTCATAGAATTAAGAAACTTCCCACAAAAACCAGCTTTATGATATCACAGAACAGTCTATGAAGGAGCCTGGGGTTACGGTATGCTAGGTGCATGTGTACAGGTGCATATGTACACCTTCCATCCGCATGGGCATTCCTGCAACCATACTTCTAAAATATGCATTTATCGTATGCTGTCTTTGATCTCTCATTCATGAAATCATATCCATTTTCAATGTGCCACTTCATAAAGTCCATGGAACAGGAATGACTATGAAGTAGAGAAACAGATTTTTCATAGATCCCAGTAGAAAATTTATTACCTTGCTTTTCCAGTGATTATATTGAATTTCACTTCCAACCATTAGTGCAGACTAATTAAGGATATCCGGCTTCCCTGTGTGAGAATAAAGCAGGTTTTAGTCCCTTTAACCCAAAGAGACATCTAACAACCATGAAAGGAAATGACTTTTGCTCCTCTTATTTTTTTTTTAAACACAATTTAATATATACCTGTAGGATTGTCTAACTCCTCCCTGAGTTAACTCTCCAAGATTCTAAAATCTTAAGATGCGTAATTATCGAACCAGGCAAGGGTTTTTTTCCCCAAAAAAGGACAGTTTTAGAATAACAGAACCTCCTCATTGGGAGGTCATTTGGTATAGCTTCCCATTTATAGTCTTCTCCCTGCAACGTGGGCACTGTATCTTCCTACCTACCTATTTTCCATCTAAAATCACCTTATAAAAGAAGACTTTGGAATTATGTAAACCAATTTACTTTTTTAAATAAGAAAGATATCCCCAAGGAAATACCTGGACAAGGTCATTCATCTTGTCAGCAGAGACTGGCACTAGCCAGCCCACTGCCCAGCTACCAGTGCAGTTCTGCCGCCATTGCACCCTAATCTGTGAAAACTTTTAAGGCTCTTATCAATGACTAGCTCAGCCATTCTCACAACATCCTTTTAAGGCAGTGGTGCCAAGACACAGGGAGGCAAAGGGAGAACAGAACTGATCTGAAAGTTTGATTTGAAGCAAGTTTGTGGCTCAGAGGTCTCATAAAAGGTAAAGACAGTTATTAACTAAATAATTATTAATACCTGAAATTCACACTTCTGTGGTTACAAAGGGCAGGGGAGTTTCTTTAAATTCTTTAAAAAGAAAGAAAAGAAATGGGTGTGTTTCTCCTGGCATGGGCGAGTCCTTCCTGCACCCCAACGGTTTCATCTGAGTGAACCATGTATGAGAGGATGCACGGAGCAGAACTGATCCGTGTTTGGGTGTGTGATCTTTAGGCACCTCACTCAGAGCCCTGGGTCTGGATTTTGAAGGCAGCATGCTCCTTTCCAGTACCTTCCACTCTCTTGGGAGCCAGCATCCTTCACCTCCCTTTCCTAGGATAAAAAATAACAGAGCTATAACCATATTTTCAAAGGGGAAAATTAATTCATATATTATATCTATGGTGTGCCATTTAGGACAGTATGCATTGTGGCAATGTGACCATGGTACTGAATATATTAAAATAGGAAAACCCCAGAGAATCTGAAAGGCATAGTGCATAGGAGACACCAAGGGCTCCAGGTTAATCTCGTGGTTATTGCATCCAAAACTAAAAGTAACTGATTGGGAAGACCTATCTCTAAAGTTGGAAATGCTACATGAAACATTAGAAAGTGGCATCAATATGGGTAAACATGAGCATGATAATGTCACACGCATGCTTGTATAGAACCATATGTGTGCATAGCCACTTGCTCTATCCTTGAATACTTAGGGGGCCTTAACTTTAGTGCAAAAGAATCACCTAGCAATTGTTCATAACATGAAGATTACTGGCATCAACCCAAGAGATTCTGATTTCATAGATATGGGGTGATTCTGAGATCAATCCAACGGCCACACTTAAAGCCAATTCTAAGGAATTACAAGGCTTAATGTGTCATGTTATTTACTGAAGGGGGCAGTAGAGCGTAATAGATGAAAGCATGGGATTCAGACGATCCATGAATGCTGACTTCCTACCCGACTTTGGTACTTAGTACTTCCATATCTGTCTGTAAAATGGACATGATGATATGATTGCATTTGCTTCAAGTCTTAGAAAAGAATTTTAATTTCAAATTTAAGAAATAAATGAAAAATTTAATGTGAAAATGTTTTGAGTTTATAGGTCCTCAAATGTTGAAATAGTTAACATGCTTTATCTCTTCTCCATGTGTTTCATGTACCATACCACTTTTTCCTTTGTATTTTGCTGACTCTGATTTTCATTAAACTAGGGTT